AGGCAGAGGTGGTGAAAATGTGTTGTGAACAGCAAAGAGTATGTGTGTGCACATGGATGCACGCATGCGTTAGCATGTGTGCATGTGTTGTTAGGGAGACAACTAAAATGTCTCCGGATTAGTATTATGAAAACTTACTCCTGGTATTCTTCTACTCCCTTAGAAATAGTTTTTGAGTAGTAATTGAACTTCACAAGAACTAACTTTTGTGTCCCACCCACACTTGACCCCATTATCAGTTTTTGTTCCCAGTGGAGAACTGGCTTATTAAAAGTAAGATCTGTAGTAATGAATTCTCAGGAGCTTTCTGCAAAGTGGAAGAGAGGGGCCCTAAGATGGCTTTTTTTTATTTCAAGGCCTTCAGCTGGTTAGCTGCTTGCCTATGTTCTATGGTCAGATTCTGCACTACAAGAGATAATACCAACAGCCAGAAGTTACCAGATAAGCACTGAATTAAAAACCACAACAAACTCACCACAATCACATAAAGACAGGGGAATTTCAATAGTCTTAGAGTAAGAAAAAGTGATAGTTACATGTGATGAAAAAAATATTTACGTATAGCACATTGGTTTAAAGACACAGAAGAAATGCCTTTAAAATTCAGAGTTTTGAGGACTAAATAGGGATTTGATTTTCTAAGGACCAGTTACAAATTTATGCAAAGAAAACCTTCCTGTAACCCTGTTAATAACCACATGTTAATTTTTTTAAATTGCACATGCAGAAAATTAGACTTATGTGAGTTTCACATGTAGTATCAGGGGCTCTAACCCTAAACTGTGTTGTTTATCAAAAATGACCACACTTCATATTCATCAAAAATAAAAGACATACAATTTTGGGCAAAGAAAAATGAACACTACATAAAATTTTAAATTTTTTCATTTAAAATATTAAGATAAAAATTATATGCTATTAAATCAGGCAGAAAATAATTTGATTTAATTTAAAAAGCAAAGGGTGCATAAGTCACTTGGCATTAGTGCGAACAAAAGAAAAAATGCTAAGATGCTGCTCTATTTATGAAGAGCAAAACGAAGTATGAAGACAGGCCTTGAGGACTGTGGGGTTCAGCCAAAACACACTGAACTATTTTCACTGAATTATTGGAGTGCTTTTATTTTTCATTCAATCTGCACGTCCATTTGAATTTTCTCTTTAACATGTATACCCGGTGACATTTTTTATTCTTGATGACTCAGTTTAAGTAATCTTTACAAACAGAGCTTTCCTTATGGTTCTACATTTTGCTGGGGATTTTTGTTTTTGGTTTTTTTGTTTGTTTGTTTTTGTTTTTTCCTGCACTGAAGTTAGAAGTCAGCATGCTTCTACTGGGTTAGACTATGAGGTTTCTGTGGAGAGTCAATGTTCTATGCATGGTCCAAGTAGATTTCACGGTTGTTGAAAATGTGTGGGAAGATAACATAAAACATTAAATGTGCACTGAAACAAGCTAAAG